TTTCAAATTCTTTACTTCTTTTACTACATTTTCGGTTTCTTTTTTATCAAAATCTGTGAAAAAATATAGTTTAGATTTCTAATATTTATTTATAAAAAATATTACCATTAAATTTAATGCATTTGACGGCAAATAACTGTCCATCAGATTTATGTTTCACTCGCAATACTGTCCCAAAACCACCCGATCCTATAACCGACATCTCATCAAATGTTTTATCATAATTTTCATTGAAACTACTTTTATAATCAATTTCAATGCTAAATGGTTAGAATGAATTTAAGTGAATATTCTCTAACTTTGCTTCAATTCCTTCATATTTCGCATTAAAATATTCCGCAAAAAACTTGTAATCATTTTGTTGAATGAGTTTTAGTGTGGAATCAAATGTTGAATCAGTTTTGAGATAATTCTTAATATAAGACCACTCATTATATTTGGCTAAGACTTGTGAGCACTCGGGTCTGTCTGTCCAGTGAGGGCCGGGTTTGTGCGGGTGATCCCAGTTATAGTATGACATTGAATGCAATACATCTGTTAATTTAAGCCAACATTTGTTCATAACTTCATTGTCTGAATACTTTTGTAAACTACAGAATATATTCAAATAAATAAAAAAAACTCAATTAATTATTAAATAATTTAAATATTAATTCACATTATCTTACGGTTTGTCCTCCAAATGAATCCCAAAAATATTTTCTGCAATTTTAGCCAAACTATAGATATCTATCTTATGGGTATAGTCCACGCCCTGACCCACTTCTGACGCCTGATATCTCAGGTCTCCCTTATCTGACGAGGGCTGGTGAACAGTAGCCAAACCAAAGTCACATAATTTTTAAAATCTGCCGTTCCTTACAGTCTTCGTCACTAATATGTTGTCGGGTTTGAAATCTCTATGAATGACCGGAGGATTCAATTCATGTAAATATTGAACGCATTCTAAAATCTCTTTAAATATATGACACGAAATGTAAAACTCGATTGAATTCATGGGTTCTCCCGGTTGTCGACCAAATACTTGTCGTTTGTGTTGAAGAATATTCTGCAGACTCTGGGAACACAACTCCATTTCAATGTAATATACTTTGTCTTCAAACCATTGACCGAAATATTGGACACAATATTCTGACCTAACTTTTATCAATTTATGCATTTCTTGCGTAAATTCCCGTAAATGGTCAGCACCTATACGTGTATTAATTTATTTGTAATTTAAAATTTTACATAACATTTCGACAAATACAGTATAATACAATTTAATTTAGTTATACAAAATATTAATAAATGCCATTAAATTACCTTGATATCTTATTTTCTTAACCGCATATTCTCGTCCATTATATTTATCTTTAACAACAAATACTTCCCCAAAAGCTCCCGAACCTAATGAATGCAACTCTTCATACAAACGCTTATAATTATTAACTTTGGAAACTATAAAACAAATTAAATTCATTCATTAATTTTTCATAAAGTAATCCAAAAGTACGTACTCAAAGGGGACGGGGAGGGTGTTGTAAGCTTACTAAGGTGTAATTAATTATACGGTATATTATTTATTTTTGCATAAATATAGTTAAAATAATTTGTTTAGAAATTTGCTTAATTGGTTGACAATGTCTTTAAATTCAAATTGTAATGAAAGCTGGAATTAGCGTTCGATAAGAGAATATTGTAAAATGTACAAGTTAAGTTTATTAATTTCTTAACTAATTTCAAGAAAATTTGCATATTTTTAGTTTAAGTTAATGTGTTAATCGTGAATGTTAATGACTGGCTGACTGTACGTACTTTATGAATGAGACCAAAAACCAATTCAAACCATTGTTTGATAATTCCTTTATAGAAGAAATTACTTTTTCAAAATAATCTAAACATTTTGCACTAAATTCTTCGCAATTCTTGTAATTATATTCCTTATAATCATCCAATTAAATGGTTTTATGAGTTATTTGATAATCATTTGTAAAACAGTCGAAGAAATTTGTATAATTTGTTTTAATTATATTATCGTTTGGTATTTTTGTAATATTAAATATTTTGCAATTCATTATAGCAGTAAACTCACACAAATGATCCTTTTTTGAGTAAATTATATTAATTTCTGAAAACCACATATTAGTATCCAATACTTTTGGTGATATTTGAAACAAATATTCGTTGTTTTCATTCATATATTGTCCGCAAAAATGAATGAATCCATAAGAATCCGTTTGATAAGAGGCATGTGAAGCCACCACCCGAACAGATAGTCTTAATACCTGTAATGTCTGCAATGAGTTGTGGTTTCCATATATTATTCGATGAATTGAGTCCCAAATTATACCAATCATTTCGACCCCAACTAAACACCTGTCCCTCTGATGTGATGGCAAATGAAGAGTAATCACAACAATAAATGCTTTTAATTTCGTGATAGGGATTGAAATTCACTCGAAATGTGACCCCTTTTCGTATATCACTATCTGGTCCACAACCTAACTGTCCGAACATATTATAACCCCATCCATAGACACAGCGATCACTCGTGAGAATCATTGTGTGATAAAAACCACAACTTATTTGATTAATAGTCTTATTATCGATATATTTGGGATCAAAAAGTCCCGGTTTTGCGTATAAGACATCTGTACTCTTAGATGCAATACCTAACTGTACCATATTATTATAACCCCAACCATAGAGACAGTTGTGTTGAGTGAGGGCTAACACAAAGTCGGATGCGTTGAAGAATTGTGTGATATTCTTGTGGCGCAATCTCTCAATCTCTTGGATTTCACTGATATAGCGGTTGTGTTCCAAACCAAGAGATCCCCAATAATTAGAACCCAAACTGTAAACCATGTCATCATTTGTAACAAACAATACATTATATCCCCTCTTGTCGTCGAAAACATGAAACAATTGAATCGATTTAATGATATTTTCTTCACTTTTATGTCTATTTTCGTCGACAAGTGTT